TGTAGCATTTCTCGGATAGATGACAAATGCTGACCTTCCCGCTGATGATATCCTGTACGGATACGATCTCATGGGCCTCAAACATCAAAGACATATTCTGATGACCCGTCAGACACTTCTTACATAAGTAGCTGTTGCAGGTTTTGCAGAATGACACAGCTTCTTCTTGACGTTTGCAAGTAGTGCATTTTGGACGCATCTCAAGGACAGCGTTCATTCCTCCACTCTTGGCGTGGTAATCGTCTACCAGTGCGTTGACAGTCACATTGGTGAGGAAATCTTTGACACGGTTCGCAGACAACTTGGTGACCTCCCTGCAGAGAGGACAGGTCATGTGATCGAGATCCTTATGGGACAGGTCATAGTTCTCGAGACATTTCCGACAGAAGGTGTGTCCGCATGAGGTCAGGATGGTTGCCTTGTCGAAGATATCAAGACATAGCGGACACGTCAGGTTCTGTGAAGAGCTTGGAGCTTTATCTTCTTCAGTCTTCTCAGCCATTGGTACAAATATCAACTTGCTGGCAAATGTACAAAAGTTTAAAAGTCAGTTCATGCAAGCTCAAACAATATGCATTGACGTACTAGGTTGTACCAATATCCTGAGTCCAAGTTTTCACGTTGATTAATAATATGCTTCGAAATAGGTGCGTCTATCAAAAGTATTGATTCTCTATCCAAATGTGTATAACAAAAAAAAGGTTACAGTGGTAAAATCGCACTCGAGTAGATCGTCTGTTCATATTATGCAGTTTGTACATCCTGTAAATAGCAGTGGGTTTTCCCACAGAGAGCGTACAGGATATAGCACCTTTGAACTTAATGGTGGTATATATTATGTATTCATCGTTTTAGTCTATAGCGGACGACTTTGTTCGGATGTCAGTGGTGGACATGATTATTATGCTAGAAATCCACTGTGGTAGAATTCTAGATAATAAAAGTCAAACGTTTTATTTGCTTGCATTACTATCATTAGGGAATTTTCGATTTGCGTGGACGTGGACATGTGACTTCCTTTAAAGTCACGTGTGACGTCCTTTTAAGGCACTGGCAGTGCCTTAAAAGGATATCACACGTTGCAGTCCACGTTCTCGTCGTGCAAATCGAAAAGTCCCTATTGGTAGGGAGAAAGGACGGTAACTACACTTGCTTTCCACCCCTTCTTCCTCCACTATTCTTCCTTTATCTCCTTCCATATCTCTCTTTTTCTTTCTCTGTCAACAAATCATATTCTTGTGAATGGATTGCTTCGAGGCTATGATTTTTTCTTCAATGTACAATTTGCTTGAAAAAAATATTTTACCGTTTCTACTCTTATACAAAATCTCATGATTTAGATATATTATAACCATGATAATGTGAATCATTTCTGTCTCAAGAGCTGATAACATGAAAACTCATATCAAATTTAACATGTCACTATATCATAGCGATACTGCACATGGAATGTGATTTATTTGAAATAATCATGCTTGGACCCTGCAACAATGGATCCATGAAATAAAGAAATGATTTTCTCTCATCGCAATTCTGTCTGATTTAAGCTTCTAACTTTCTCTAATTTATTATTCCTCTCTCTCGCTCTCTCTCACACGCACACACTTTCATCTTTCTATCTCTATCTCTAACTCTTTCTTTCTCTCTCTCTCTCTCTCTCTCTCCCTATAAACAACTGAATATTATCAAAGTCTGTGAGAATGTATGTGCAAGAATCCTTAAAATTGATTTTTTTTTTTTTAAACACCTCATTAACAATGAACATGTACCTGTAGATACTTGTACTTATGAATACCTTGTCAACTATTTATGTTAGTGGTGTCGGGTCGGGTAGACCCTATTTGCCTTGATTAAACTTTACAAACTATTACATTAAACATGTCCTCATTGACATAACTGAATTTGAACTTTATGTCGACCACATATACTCAGTCTGTTGTTTGAAAGTAGTAACACAAATACTTATCCAGGGGATTGTAGCACCTGTCAATATAGATACAATGGAAATGGAGCGTATTTTGATGCTCGAATGGAAATTAGACATATCAATAATATTAAGGCCCACACACACACACACACAAACATTCTCTTTCCAAATGTTTACTTGAATACCAAGGTGGTTACAATGGTAAAATCACTCTCGAGTAGATCGTCTGCCGATATCACTATGAACATGACAGACAATGAAAGAGGACAAAATATACAGTTCCTCATTCTAACCTCAACAATTGCTGTGGTAGACAAAGGAACATCCCTTCACTGCTATTATTTAAAAATGTGTAGAACAGGGGAATATGCATGTGACACCTGTTCTACACATTTTTACATAATATCAGTGAAGGGATGTTCCTTTGTCTACCACAGCAATTGTTGAGGGTAGAATGAGGAACTGTAAATGTTGTCCTCTTTCTTTGTCCGTCATGTTCATAGTGTATCATGCAGTTTGTGCATCCTATGAATAGAAGTGGGTTTTTCCACAGAGCGATTAAACATGCACCTTTGAGCTAGTTGGCGGTATTCATTTTTTTCAATCATCTATAGAGGGCGACTTATTTCGGATATCAGTGATGGATATATTATGTTGGAGATCCACTTTAGTAGAATCCTGGATAATAGAGATAGTCGTTTTATTCGCTATCATTACTATATTAGGAAGAGTAAAGGACGGTAACTACATTTGTCTTTCACCCCCTCTTTCTCCACTATTCCTCCTTTATCTCTTCCTCTCTCTCTGACAACAATTAAAAGACTCATCCAGTGTCAATCACCAATACAGTGTACATACACAAAAATACTGTACATGTAATCATAGGATAGGTTTAAAGCGCATATATACTTTTTATAACTACAGTGAATTTTCTAATTACAAGAAAAAGAAACAAAAGATGAAGCTACGAAATACGAACTTTGAGACATTAATTATGTTAAGGTACTTTACAAAACTGTGTACAAAAACAGTATAGAAACCATGCGTGTGTATCGAAATAGTCGCGCCATTTTACCCATTAGACTTGACTTTCTTTCTTCGCCAACAACACAAGGTAACTGTATTTTCCATTGAGATGCGGTTATCAGAACCCCCCCCCCCTCCCTTTAAATACCAAAAAAAAAATTGTCGTTGTTAAAGAACAATAGAAAGAAAATTGTCCCCAAGCTAGTTTGCTTATGCATACAAGGAATTTCTCCGATGTAATCTTAATCTTACAAACATATTAACTGGTAAATCATGTTTTTTAAACGATAGGGAAACATTAAAATGATGTTTTCTCCAGATTCATCCCTTTGTTTGCCATGCATGTCTACTAGCATGACCAGATGTAGGTCTTAAGTACTCATCATTTCTACAATTTATCATATGATAACATAATCCTAGCTTACCCCCATTCTCTTTAAACCATTATGACATGCAGATGAAGATATTCCAAATTCCACGTCACAAATCGATAGTCTGTATAGATTTCATTGAAATGAATCGAATTTAACTTGACTGAATTAAATTGAATTGGAAGGGTAATTATTATGAAACAGATCGCCAACTGCCGGATTTACATGAAATATGTTCAAAATGAAATTACTAATTATAACAGAACTACAGTAAATGTTGACATGAATGTATCATCCTATGAATTACTTCGGACGTTTAGTCAAGAAACAAATCTTTCGACTATTAAACGAGGCCCTTGTTTTTGTTAATACACCGTTCTTTCTACATCATAGTAAATTATCAGCCCCAGAGCATTTAATTCAATAGCTTTTTCAAACAGAGTGCAAAGTGAATATGAAGGAATCTTTCATGGAATATACTGTAGAACCATGGCCCAGTAAGATTTTTTTCTATTGATTTGGTGTATTTGTTAAGTTCAATATAACATACATACGAAGAGTCAAATGAAATTATAAAATGAAAACAAATTAATACTACCAATAACTTGTCAGGTCTGGATGACCTATGAAAGTTTAAAAGCTTCTTTACAATGGTGTCCTATTTATAAAGTTACAGCATTAATTCTTTCTTCATTTAAAGACATAAATTAATCACAATATCAATTTTTTTTAAATATAAGCGCCAACAAAATAATTTGTTAAATACTTTTAGAATGACAACATAATGAAAATAACACTAACAAGAAGTATGCAAGAAGTAGATGTATATTTTACGTACTGCATTTACATACACTTTCGAGAGAGGGAAGTTATCATTACAGGATAATGACAATTATACAACGCCTACTAAGATTCTTGCAACCTCATTGGTCAATTCTTGATCACATGACATGCGCTAAAAGTACCACTGAACGGCATCATTCTCCAGCAGTGCAATTCGGTTTGATCCTTTCGCACCATTGCACTCTGACGTCACTAACGATGTACAAAGTAAATGGTGAGCTAAGTGACGTCAGAGTGCAATTAAATGGTGCGAAAGGATCAAACGAAATTGCACTCCGCGTAACAATAAACATAAAAGTTGGTACGCGCGGCGCAATGTACACATTCTCCAATACCCCAATGTGGGTGACATGAGAATAAATTGTCATTGTCATTGTCATTGCTGCCTGCTTAATAGTGCGCGCTCACTATCAGCAATTTCATCAATTGTTTAATTGAAAACAAACAAAAAATCGCTGAGATTTAGGCCTAGGAAAACTTTTTTAAGCCCGTTAACGTCCGAGGTGTTGTATAAAACAAATAGTGAATGGTCTTTATTCGTGCAATGGAACAATATTTTGCATTCGGTGAAAGATGAGACGCCTCGTTGAATATAGCGTCTCTTATCTTTCACCTCGTGCAAAATCTTGTACCATTGCACTCATTCACTATTCACTATTTGTATACTGTGTTCAGGCAATTAAAATCTACCTAAAGAATGTGCTCTCCCTATTTGGTTATTTATAACATAATGAACATCAAAAAATTAAACATAGGCCCATATGAGAGTGGGTCTGGAGCAGAGAGATATACACACTACAAATAAGGGTGAACAGAGTGTGAGATACAGATGATTACAGTGATACTTTGATATAATACAACTTATTGTCACGAGCAAACGCTAGCATGTCTGGAGAGAGGGAAACCAAGTAACACCAGTCCCAACCAAGCGTCAGATTAAGTCTTTTGAACTTAACTCTATCCTTCAGGTTCAGACCTTCAAGGACATAGAGCCGTATCACCACGTTGCCATTCTTGCTATCAACACTCGCTACATACACCCTGTCCTGCTCATCCACGGCAGCATATAGGTAGACACCGCTTGGAGCTTGTAGAGACTTACCAGCATTCCCATCCCTGTCATAGACCGTCACCACGCTTGGATTGGGATAATTACATGTACTCGTGACGATCAAACCCGACCTGGTAGCAGATACCTGGCTCGTAGCGTTGTGTTTTGTTGGAACAGTGTGTTTGAGAGTGGATCCAGTCGGGTCATAGATATAGACTTTCCTATCATAGTTAGCGATGAGGATTTCATCTGATGGACTATTGTTTAGTCTGAGACAGCCATTGCATTTCACGTGGACGGTTGATTTCCTGGAGCCATTTGGAGAATATTTGTCTACTTTGCTACTCGTCGATATACATAACGACCTGTCTTGTTGAAACACAAGATCATAACACTCCATGTCACTTGGTATGTTTGCATACTTCTCCTGTTTACCAGTTGAATCAATGATATCTATACCATGTGCATTCAAATATCCAATAGCCACACTATCATCAGAGTACGGGGTCATACCCCACATTCGTCCCCGTAGATCTACACACTGAATGACTTGAACCTTGGGATTTGATTTTGAGATGCTCCCAAAGTTAAGACGACTATCAAATGCAGGATTGAACCTCTTCTTCTGTACTCTCTTCGTAATGGCTGCCGCAGAAGTGTGATCAGTAGCTGATTCTGAGATGCTCCCGAGATCAAGACGACTATCATCTGCAGGCTTGAACTTCTTCTCCTGCGCTTTCTTCGTAATGGCTGCCGCAGAAATGTGATCAGTAGCCTCTTTCAGCATGTCATCTAGCTCCTCACAGAGCAAGGTATGAGCCGACAGACTGTCTGTCTCAAGATGACCTAGTCCGTCATTAGCTACCAGTGTTATTGAACTGCAAATACTCTTGATCCTCTGTCGATCCTTGGATTTCAAGACGTTGAGGTCGTCCTCGAAACTCTGCTTTACTGCATTGATTTGCTCGACAAGATGTTGATGATTTTCCTCAAGCTCTTTAGCCTTGATGCTGTAGGCTAGACTGACATCGTCCAATAGTTTCTGCACGGCAACGTATACTTCATGGCGTTGTAATTCCACATTCTGAATGTTCTTCTCCAGTTCTGATTTCTTAGTGGCACATCGCTGGACAAGGTCGTTCACCTTAACAGAACAAATAATTGAAAAGAACATTTTGCAGAATGAGTAGGCCAATTACATGGAGCTGGTATGAGAATCAAACACCGGAGTTTGGGGGCGCCTGATTTTTCACAAAATGTAGGACCAAGAACCCCCCCCCCCCCCCCCCCCTCATCATAATGTCATGAGGAATGAGGAATATAATACTTTTTTTTCCGGCTTCGTGAAAAGGAAATCCAACCCTTGCAAATAGTTCGTTTGTATGGAAGCAGCAATATCAGATAAACAAAATGGATTTAGGCGAAAAAAAGTAGTAAAATGACAATGATAAATAATAATTAAAAGAATGCTAATCATAATAGTAATAATAATTATAGTAAAAGTAATATGATAATGATAATGATACTACTACATCTATTACCATTTCTAGTAATGATAATGATGATGATGATGATGATGATTTTCATTTACATTATTACTATCATTATTATTGTTATCATCATCATGAAAATGGTATTAATACCTCTAAATAATGTTGTATTGATACTTTGATGTAAAGTGCTGGCTAAACATATTAATCTGCTATAGGCCCTTTTTCACATATATATACAAAGTATGATTTTCCTGGATTTTGTTTTTCCGTTGCGAAAATGGCGTCAAGGTACGAAGTAAACTGAATAATTTTGTTGGATGATCTGGGCACGCGAATCCTTTTACCTATTAAACGGTAAACTACGAACATGGGGAGAGTAACGAAGAGACAGAGATAATTGAAAGAAGCAGAAAACAGGGAGAAAAGAAAAATATTAAGATGATACCTGGTACCCCCTTCGTACCTTCAAGGCGCGCCGGAAGAGTTTCAACGGTATGGAGGCGGGGGGGGGGGTTACATCGAGGATATTTTCGATAAATTTAGCTATGAAATGCAGCTACGTTTACTAACGCCATTATACATCCCCCTCCTCCGCAGCAAACACATTTTCTTCTTTCTTGGTATTTACAAATAATAATGTATACAAGTTTCAACAACAACAACAAAAGAAAATACATTGTATTCCTTTTTTTTATTTTTGCTCCCAAAAATTTGAAAATCGCGCCGGCTGATAATTCGCTCAGAGAATTTCAAAAGGAATGGTGACATATTGTTGTTTAGAACCTCTATTGCTTCAGTTTGCAAAATTATTGGTGTCAAAAAAAATTGTCTGGCAAGGGAGGCAGAAATTACAAATCCTCATTTGTTTGTAAAGATATTTGGAAATGTGAGCGGGAGGGGGCAGAGACAAATTCACTCAACCCCCGATGGAGACAGGGGCGTCGCTAGACCTTTTTCAGTGGGGGGGTGTAGAGGCCAACGATTACCGACAAAACTAGCGACCAATTACCGACAAAATTAAATGTCCGATATCTACAAATTTAACCCTATAAACCCGGGGCCGAAGGCTAAATTGTTTTTCCTATGAACTATCTATGGTACTTGCATATATATACTTGCAATTGTCAGAATTTAGTTTCCCCCTCTCGCGCGAAGCGCGGAAGCTTTGACGTTTCATTAAATTATTAGAGAAAGAAGACGATTCGTTTTTACCGTTTTCGACTCTTAATAAGCCCTATTTGGTGTACTGTTTTCGACTCTTAATCCGTATCTGAATATAGTTTCCCCCTTTCGCGCGAAGCGCGGAAGTTTTGACGTTTCATTAAATTATTAGAGAAAGAAGACGATTCGTTGTACCGTTTTCGACTCTTAATAAGCCCTAATTGTCTGAATTCAGTTTTCCCCTTTAGCGCGAAGGGCGGAAGCTTCGACGTTTCATCACAATATAGAGAAAGGAAGACGATTCGTCGTACCGTTGTTGACTCTTAAACCTTGTTTGAATTTAGTTTCCCCGAAAATTTTAAACCTCTGATTTCTTTAGCTGATATTATAGGAAAGTGAAACTTCGAGAAAATACAAGTATTGTAGTTGTAGTCACTCTCGAAGTCGTCACAGCGGATAAAAAGTCACAGTTCGTAGGGAAAAAAACTTGTCGGCCGACCGACAATATACATTTCACCGACTTCAAACTTCTGCATTGATATAGTACACGAGGATCGAGCAAGAATACCGACACAGCTGACCCGACATAGCAACATATTTACCTGTGTGTTTCTTGCTCCCTCGACGAGACGACTCCACCCAACAACCCCTTCTCTCTTTTACTCCCATTCCTCCTCTCTCAGGCTCTTACCTCTCCTCTCTCTCCTCTCTTTCACCCCCGTTTCTTTTGTTTTCCTTTTTACTTTTTTTTCTTTTTTTTTCTTCTCCCTTTTCCTTTCTTTCCTCTCCTCCCTCTTTTTCTTTTTTCTCTTTCTTTCTTCTCTTTTCTTTCCTTTCTTTTCCTTTCTTTCCTTTCTTTTCCTTTTCTTTTTTCTTTTCTTTCCCTTTCCCTCTCTTTTTTTCCCTCCCCCTTTTCTCTTTTTTCCCGACGGCAGCGCAATTTTACCGACAATATCCTGACAGGTGGGGGTGTCGCACCCCCCCCCCCACACCCCCCCCCCTTTGGCGACGCCCCTGGATGGAGATGCCCCTAGCTTTTGCTTCCTCTTAGAGACAGGCTGTTTACAGTATAAACATAGGATTGCACTTCTTTCTTTAATTTGTTGAGCAGGGTAGCGACCAATAGCTGAGTAATTCAAGGTTTCGGAATGGTTAGATTCTGCATTTTAGTGGACTAATCTGCTGATAGGGCTTTGCTGCAAAATATTTCTAGTCAAGGGGGTGTATCTGCTGCCATGCTTGCGGTGCCTATATTGTAGAAGGGGGTTTACAATCATACTAAACATCGGGTCTAGTAATATTCGAGGAGCGTAATGACGGAGGGGGGGGGGACTTTTTGATTTTAGGATGCTGAAATTTTACATTTCAAAGCACTTGTTATTTTATTATAATACTAAGAAATTACGTACAATTTTCCCTTTTTCCTTTGCGAGGCCACCCCCCCCCCCTAGTCTGTAGGCACAGACCCTAATTTGACACTTTATCAAAAAAAATCATTGTGCCTTGAGAGAAGTCTAGCCCAGCTACATACTGGTTGTGTCAGGAGCAGCTACAGTACATGGCCTATGGTAGTCTTATAGTGCAGACTCACTTTTACGACTGACCAGGGTTGTGCTTGCAGGCTACCCCCCCCCCCCCCCCCCCCCGACTCAAATTATTGCATCAGCATCTCTGCCCCCTCCCTGATTCAGGCACCTACGTTACCTTACATAAAACCATGATTACCTTAAGCCGTAACTCCTGCTCAAAGTCAGCCTGGTTCTTGATTTTGTGAAATTGATGACCGACGATCACGCACTTGAGACAGACGTGGACCTTACAATCCTCACAAAACATATCTTTGTTCTCTTGTTTGTGGATGTAACACTTCTCGGATAGATGACTAATGCTGACCTTCCCGTTGATGATATCCTGTACGGATACAATCTCATGGGCCTCAAACATTACAGACAAATTCTGATGACTCGTCAGACATTGCTCACACAAGTAGCTGTTGCAGGTTTGGCAGAATGACACAGCCTCTTCTTGACGTTTGCAAGCAGTGCATTTTGGACGCATCTCAAGGACAGCGTTCATCCCTCCACTCTTGGCGTGGTAATCGTCTAGGCCTACCAGTGCGTTGACAGTCACATTGGTGAGGAAATCTTTGACACGGTTCGCAGACAACTTGGTGACCTCCCTGCAGAGAGGGCAGATCATGTGATCGAGATCCTGATGGGACAGGTCATAGTTCTCGAGACATTTCCGACAGAAGGTGTGTCCGCATGAAGTCAGGATGGTCGCCTCGTCGAAGATATCAAGACATAGCGGACACGTCAGGTTCTGTGAAGAGCTTGGAGCTTTATCTTCTTCAGTCTTCTCAGCCATTGGTGCAAATATCAGCTTCCTGGCAATGTACAAATGTTCAACAGTCAGTTCATGCAAGCTCAAACAATATGCATTGACGTGGTAGCTATAGGTTGTACCAATATCCTGAGTCCAAGTTTTCATGTTGAATAATAATATGCGTCGAAAGAGGTGCGCCTATCTATGATCAAAAGTATGAATTCTCTATTCAAGTGTGTATATGAATAATGTTACAATGGTAAAATCACACTCGAGTAGATCGTCTGTTCATAAAGTGTAGTTTGTGCATCCTATAAATAGAAATGGGGTTTCCCACGGATAGCGCGCAGGATATAAGCACCTTTGAACCTAATGGCGGTATATACGTATTCATCATTTTTGGCTATAGAGGGCGACTTCTTTAGGCTTTCAGTGGCGAATATAATTATTATGCTGGAGGTCCACTTTAGTAGAATCCTGGATAATAAAGCCAGACGTTTTATTTGCTTTCATTACTGTCATTGGAAGGGGAAAGGATGGTAACTATACTCTCGTTTCACCCCTTCTTCTTCCACTATCTTCTTCCATTGTCTTCTTACATTGCTCTCTTTTTCTCTCTCTCTCTCTCTCTCTGTCACTAATTTTTATTCTTGTGATTGGATTGCTTCGAGGCTGCCTTTCCTTTCAAAGTACAATTTGCTTGAAAAAAAATGTTTCACAGTTTCCTCTCTTATAAAAAATCTCATGATTTAGATATATTATAACCATGATACTGTGAATCATTTCTGTCTCAAGAGCTGATAACATGAAAAATCATATCAAATTGATTATGTCACTATCATAGCCATATTGCATATGGATGTGGTTTATTTGAAATAATCATGCTTGGACCGTACAACAATGGGTCCTTGAAATAACGACATGATTTTCTGTCATCACAATTCTATTCTGTCTGATATAAGCTTCTATTTTTTTTTTTCATTTCTCTCTCTTATCCTCTCTTTCTCTCTCTCTCTCTCTCTCTATCTCTCTCTCACGCACACACTTTCTTCTCTATCTCTCTCTCTCTCTCTCTCTCTCGCCGTACCCCTCTCTCTATCCGTGACTCTTTAATCTCCCTCTCTCTCTCTTTCTCTCTCTCTCCCTATTATAACAGCTGAATATTAACAAAGTCTGTGTCCTTCAAAGTGTTTCTTTTATCACCTCTCTAACAATGGACGTATACCTGTTATATTATATACTTGTACTTATGAATGTCATATATTTATGTTAATAGTGATTGGGTACACTACCCTATTGGGCCTTGACTAAACTTTAAAAACTATTACATTAAACAATTGTACGCATTGAATAAACTGAATATGAACTTGATGTCAACTACATAATACTTAGTCTGTTGTTTGAAAGTAGTAACAGAAATACTTATCCAGGCGACTGTAGCACATGCCAATATTATAGAGCTCAACACATTTTGTTCAACTTAATTTAGAATATGTCGTACGCTGTGAGAAAAATGTATATATTCAGTGTCTGTGATTTCAACCATGAACCGTTTGCTATCAACACAATATCCAACGCTATTTGCTAAGCTATGTATCCACATGCAGTGGCGTAGCTAAGAGAGGGCGGGGATGGCACGGGATGTGCACATATTACGTGCCCCCTAACCGAATGGCTCTTTACTGCAACAAAAAAGGAAGAGCGAGAGAAAAGATCGAAGAAAAAAAATGAAAAAAGTGAGATAATTAATATAAGGAGATACTTTTTGCTTGATAATGTTCTTCGAATATTATATTGTTATGTGAACGCAACTCTTTCAACAGATTGTGATGAAGAGCCAATCACATTTTCATTTCAGTGACGTAAGCAGCAAACGTTATAACAATCTCACCAACAGGTGCTGTCTTCAGGGGGGAGGTGGTATACCAAAAAGAGACATTGATTAGTCTTCCGTGTTCAAAAGGAATTTGACGTATACAAAGGAATTTCGTTTAAGAGAGTTCTTTTTTAAATTGCTGTATAATATACTACCTGATTGAAACAATCTTTACGAATGGAGATTAGCAAAACGACAGAATACTGCCCCCGAAGTACCACGTAATAGAGGACATTGTCCATGTGTTTATTGAATGTGAACAGAACAAAAATTTCATTGATAATGTTAAACAGGTTATGATGTTTGGTTTTAATATTGATATTTACATGGATATATCTTCTTACCTAAGATTACTAATGAACAGAAAGATGGACGCTAAAATAACTCTCGCATTCTGGTGTATACATACAAAATGTTAGTCTACCGGAATAAGTATGATTTTAATGAAAAGCGTTTCAAAGTAAGGTACGTATTTAAAAGAAAAAACTCAGACTACTCGTAAACCAGGAGCTTAAAAAAACAGACAAAAGGTTGCCAGAAAAATTGTTAAAAACACATTAAATGGTAAGTAACAAAATATCGTACAGGCGAGAAAATATATGTTTACTATTGATAACATTAGTACTACAATTACATTGCTTCTCATAACTTTATTTTGATGCTTGAATGGAAATTAGACATCTCAACTGAGGCACTCACACACAAGCAGTCTCTTTCTAAGTGTGTACTTGAATACCAATGTGGTTACAATGGTAAAATCATAAGACGTTTTATAGGCTTTTATTACTATATTTGGAAGGGTAAAGGACGGTAACTATATTTGTCTTTCACCCCCTCTTTCTCCCCTATTCTTCCGTTATCTCCTTCCATTTCTCTCTCTCTTTCAAGAATAGAAGTAAAGGACTCTCCCAGTGTCAATCAACAATACCTTGTGCATACGACACAATAATGTACATGTAATTATAGGCTAGGTTTACAGCGCATATATACTTTTTTTTATAACTACGGTGAATTTTCTAATCAAAAGAAAAAGAAAGAAAAGATGAAAATACAAACTACGAACTTTAAGACATGTATTCAAGGTACTTTACAACTGTGTAGCGAAATATTGTAGAGATTGTGGCCCGAATTCACAAAGGAGGTTTGTCGACAAACCTTGGTTTTTGTGCGTCATATATGACGCGTTCCGACGCGTTTTTACAAAATCAGGTTTATAAAAAAATGCGTCAAAACGCGTCATAAAATTATGATGTACATAAACCTAGGTTTGTCGACAAACCTCCTTTGTAAATTCGGGCCTGTGTGTATATATCATAATAGTCGTGCCAGTTTACCCATATGAATTGACTTTCTTTCTTCACCGAAAACATAAAGTAACTGCATTTTCCATCGAGATACAGCTATCAGAACCCCCCCCCCCCCCTCTTAAAAAAAAATAATAACAGAATTTATAATTTGAAAGAACAATCGGAAGAAAATTGTCCCCAAGCTAGGTCGCTCGTGCACATAAAAGAATTTCTTCGATGATATCTTCTTACAAACAAATCAACTGGTGTGTCCTTTTTCAAACGATGGGGAAACATTAAAATGAAAGTTTTCTCCAGATTCATCCATGGGTTCGCCATACATGTCTACTAGCAGTGGCGTACGCAGGATTTTTTCAAGGGGGGGGGGGGGGTTAAAATCGGGCTTGCTCCCGAAAATCGCGCCGGCCGAAAAGTCGCTCAGTGGGGGGGGGGGGGGGGGGTTGGGGGGTAAGCGGACACTTTTTTTTTTTTTTTTGGAGTCCCAAAAAAATCGCAACGACTCAGCCAGCCGAAAAGTCGCTCAGTGGGGGGGGGGGGGGGGGGGGGGGGGGTAAGCGGACACTTTTTTTTTTTTTTGGAGTCCCAAAAAAAATCGCGACGGCTCAGCCAGCCGCTGAATAAGCGGGGGGGAGGGGGGAGGGGTAAGAGGACACTTTTTTTTGGGGGGGGGGTCTCGAAATTTGGTCTCGGAAAAAAAAGTTTAAATTTTTTTGTAAAAAATCAGAAGGGGGGGGGGGTTTTCACAAAACACATACACAAAACATACACTTAAAAATAACTCAAGGGGGGGTTAACCCCAACCCCCCCCCCCCTCCCCCCTGCGTACGCGCCTGTCTACTAGCATGACCAAATGTAGGTTTATATATAGTAGGTTCATAGTTTAATATCCTCATCATTTCTACAATTTATCATATGATAAACATAATCCATTCTTACCCCATTCTCTTTCTACCGTTATAAAATGCAGATGAAGATATTCCAAATTCCACGTCACAAATCGATAGTCTGTATAGATTGAATTGAATTGAATTGAATTTAGACTCAATTAAATTGAAGGGGTGATTATTATGAAAAAGACAACTGCCGAATTTACATGAAATGTATTCAAAGCGAAATTACTAATTAAAACGGCACTGCAGTAAACGTTTATATAATGTATAATAATACTCTTACACAAGTTAATAGAATGCTTAGTCACGAAAATTCCTACTGTTAAATGAGGCCTAATTTGTGTTATATATCGTGCTTCTCTACATCATAGCAAACCAATCTGTCATATTTTAAATCCCAGAGCATTAAATTTAATAGCTTTTCAGACAGGGTGCAAAATTAATATAAAGGAATTTTTCATGGAATAAAGCACTATGGTCCAGTAAGATTTTTTTTAATTTTGTATTGATTATTTTAATGTATTAGTCAAGTTCAATGTGACATACATACGAAGAGGAAATTGATATCATAAAATGAAAATAAAATTATAATACCAATAACTTTTCAGGATGACCTATGAAAGCTGAAAAGCTTATTTACAATGGGGTCTCATTTACACACAGTCAGCATTTATTATTTTTTCATTTAAAGATACAAAGTATTCACAATATAAATCAAAAATATAAGCACAAATGAAATAATTTGTTTGATACTTTGAGAATACCAACAGAAGGAAAATAACACTAACAAGAAGCTAATCAATATGCTTATCAATTTCGAAGCAATAAATTATGATATCATATCACTGATTTTCTGTAAATATGTAAGAGATACGATTACACAATGCAAGAATTAGATGTACATTTTACATACTGAATTTACATATTATTTCGAGAGAGGGGAGTTATCATTCTACAATATAATGACAA